CCGCCACTCCCCCATATGTCTTCATGGCATAGTGCTTAATTAATTAAGCAAAGGTACATTATCTTAAACCTACTCACCGTTCACGAGCAGAACCTATGTATAATGCCTTTAACACGGGATATTGGAGATACATAGCTCTCTCTAAGTTGAGCCCTAAGCTACACAGCGTGAACATAAGGCTCACTGAAAAAGGAAGAATCCTCAATAACACGCTACATGCGCGAAATGTACATTTAACTAAAGGCCAAGCATTCATAAGAGACAAACGCATCTTCTCGTCAGAGAGGATGTTACATAAGGACTATTACCGCAAGAATTCAGTTGAAAAATAATCGCTGGTCGTAGGTCTCAAGGGGCTTTTTATTTATTGCTAGTGGGGTGGGACTAAGTCCCTTGTACTGCGGCCACTTCTGGCCTATTGTACTAGCCCCAGATGATAGGTGAGGGTGATTGTGGAGCAATTGGTGGAATAAAGATTGGCAGGGGAAACCGAAGTACTCGGAGAAAACCTGCCCCAGCGCCACTTTGTCCACCATAAATCCCACTTTACCAGTCCTGGGATCGAACCCGGGCCGCCGCGGTGGGAAGCCAACGACTAACCGTTTGAGCTATGGCACGGCCTCTCAAGGGGCTTGATATTAAAACGAATCGATTTGCGGGTAACCGCCAGTCACAAATTAACTTTGACTTTGACAGCGGAGAATTTTCCATCGTCCGAAGCGCTACTACGCAACGGCTAACAAAGAAACAACGGACTGAAGTTCGTCAGTGTACTCATTATAGCAAAATTAAATATTTGTACAGAAGTTTAATGTGTGGTTGTCTCTTCAAGTGTCGCTACTGAATAATTTTAAAAGAACCAGTTTTACTTTCTTCTTCCTGGAATACAATTGATTGTTCGTTTTCATGACGAAAACGGTATTAGAGCGGCACTCCCATCCGGTACATCGTAACCTAAGGAGACGGCCCGATATAAACCTTCCGGGAGCGTGTTATACGTAGAAGCTCTTTTTACGATCGAGAAGAGGATAAATTATGGCACCTAACCTAACAGTTTCCTCTAACTCTGATGGACATATAACAAAGAACGGTCCATTACCTTTCCAACCATAAATATAAACCTAGAAATTGTCAGCACCTCCACAAAATGCTTTCATTCATCTTTAACGCTGGAGTAATGACCTTTCTATATACGTAACTTTACCAATAACACACAAATGTTCTAATTAAAGGTATAATATGTATTCTTGCGGTCAATTAAATCCAAGTTGATTTCTAATTCGAATACTAATTATCTTCTTCCAAAACCCTGGAACTATATTATATCCTGAGGCAGATGAACCAATTACAATCTTCACCATATACTTAGTTACTCATGGAGCTGGGCCCTTCTGGAGGAGCGGCCAATTCTGCAGCTACTCAAGAATTTCGCAGCATTTTATGGAACCCGAAGGTTCATTACCGTGTTCATAAGAGCCCTCCACTGATCCCTATCCTGAGCCAGATAAATCCAATCCATATGATCCCATCCTATATTAGATCCATTTTAATATCGTCCACCCACCTACGCCTTGGTCTTCCCAGTGGTCTCTTTCCTTCTGGCTTTCCCGCCAATATCCTATATGCATTCCTCTTCTCCCCCATTCGTGCTACATGCCCTGCCCAGCTCATCCTCCTTGACTTGACCATTCTAATTATATTTGGAGAAGAGTACAAGTTATGAAGCTCCTCATTATGCAGTTTCACCATATAACTAAACTTATTTAATATTATCCTTCCATCCATAATAAGGTCTCGAATATGGCAATTCTGCCGAAGGTTTCTTAATCAATTATTACTTATTTTTTTCAATTTTCTGCCTGCATAATATCTCGCCAGTTTCATCCTTGATTTAGAGCCTTAATGAATATGACGTAAATGGTACACATTACGAACTTACTTTTTATTTAATTTTCTCCTTTCAACTTTTAAATCAGCTACCGTAAATGAGAACTTATTCTTTAGAAATTTGTTTCCAGACATTTTCAATTTCTGTAGAATTTCAAGTTTTCACAGAGGCGAAATTTTACAATAATATCTTCTGGGTTTAACACCGCGTGGCTCGATAGATGCTAATCGAATTTCAGACGAAAGTAAGGCTTACTGTCTACATGTTCAGGGTCGAAGAGTAAGCCAAGACAAGAACCAGTAAAAGGCAAGCAACAATTGCGAGCACCAGTTGCTCTTTGGTCTTTGATTGTTCAATGTCTGGTTTGTATTTTGACTTTGAAGAGGGAAGCAGTACATTTCTCCGAAACGTCTGCGAACTTTTACCGAACCACATGGTATCATAACATGTCATTTTTTTAACATTATTTTTCGTTCAAGAGCGAGAGAAAAAAAGATCACGCGGTCACAAAACAACAGTTATAAATTTCGTCTTTCTTAATCTTTAAGCTATCATGCAATTTGAAGATCTCTGAACACAAACAAAGCAACAGTATAACCAGTGCGACAGGATTCAAAATTCTACGTCACTCTGACATACATAACATGCATGTAATAACACTACATTGGTATATATGCGGGCTTAGTATATAACACGCAAACACGCATTCCACGACACAGGGATGCAGCCCAACAACATGCAACATCAGCAAATATACGCACAGATAAATACATTCCAGTAAGTAGCTCGTGACTACAATAAAGGAGAACATTAAAGAAATTTTAATTTTAATTTTAAATATATTTTAATTAATAATCAACATCGCGTTACTGCCCGATATGGAACGGTAACGTACGGTGGAACAATTTTGACAAGGTAGACGTGCATCTTAAGAAGGGCATATACGGCCGAAACCTGATATGATAGAGAAGCAGGACAAGACAATAAATTGCATTCGAGATGGAAATATGTAAGAAAAGTTAAAGCTATCCCTGTAACAGGCAGTGGAGGATAATAGGTTTGTGAAACGTCGAGGTTCTCACATTTTCTAGATAATCGGCTCACAGACGGCGGTGAGGTCAGACNGAGACGTCGAGGCTCCCACATTTTCTAGACAATCGGCTAACAGATCGCGGTAAGGTTGTCAGCCTTAAGCGCCGGCCACACTTTACCCTCTAAGAATATTCCTGGTACTCATTTCTTTTAGAAACTGAGTCTATCCCAGGGCCATAGTGAGGCTGAAAGGATTAGGTCAATTGAAAAATCCAATGGTTTCATCGGGAATCTAACCCGCGACCTTCCAACTTGTAGCATAGTGCCTCAACCAACTATACTACCGCATGCCCCTGAAAATGTCTGTATACAAATAGATTTGAAGACAAACAATTCTAATCTTAACGGTAAGAAGGATCCATTGAATTTAACTTCTTTTGAATTTCCTGAAGGTTGTCGATGCTGTCACGAACTCAGACAATACGAACAGCGTCGAGTGATGGGTGGACAGATTAATAATGATTTGGAAAGGGTGTGGGGGGAAACAGTTGAGGTCTAACTGCTCTGCTTTCCAGAAATTTGGATGGATGGATTAAGGAATGTCCAGAAATCCTCGGTCAGGTTGATCGGTGCTCTGGCGCAGGTTGGAAACGAAAACATTTCGAATAAAATCCAGGAGCGTTGCAGCTTGAGACAACTTTCCCGGTTTCGGTACGTTATTCTCGTTAAAAAATATCTTAATTATGTTACATTTCTGTAGAACTTATTATTTCCATACTGTGATTTTGTTCTTCTGTCGAGGGCACGTAAAAATGCAGCACCTATGGAAAACACCCGTGTCCTGAGATGTAACATTCTGTAGTGCAGTGGCTGTTTACCCACGTTTAGGCGCAACGTTCAACGTCCATATTTTAGTGTATTACCATTCTTCTACCTTGAAGATGGAGGCAGTTCTTCCATCCGCAACACTGGTATGTGTCTCTGAGACTACAAGGAATTGTATCTTAAAAGAGAGTCTCTTTAGTAGTCACCGATGTGAGAAACTCAAGAAAGATTTTTATCCTTCATTTCTTATTAAAAAAAATAAAGTAGGCTTATGCGATCTCCATGCTGTCTGTGTATCTCCCATTTCAACGTTTGAATAGCCGAATCATTCTTTATGAATCTCAGTACGTGTATCACGGCACACGAGGCCATTTCAACAGCGTACTTCATAAATGTCACCCATCAGTCTCTCTGTATGTGCATCACCACAACGTTGCTAGGCAACGGCTCAGCAAGAACGTTACCGCGGCAAGGAGTACGCATGAAACAATATAATTATTGGACGCGTCATTTTTAACGTGGTCCATGTTGTATCAAAGGAAAGTAGGCGATGTATTCCTCTCACAACTTCTTGTTCTTGGTACAAATTTCTACACCAGCTTCCGAACGTACAAAGATTAGCGAAATACGCGCCGAAGTGATATCCGATACAGAGGAGTTCCGACAAAATAAGCGATGCAGTGAGGGTCACGTGTCAGACCTGCTGTAAACTGTAATTAACTTGAAAGTTATGAGGGACGAGGGAAATGGTAGGTATAACATGGAAATTATACGACAAAGCTAGGGTTTGAGGATAGGAAGAGAAATAAAATGTAACCTTATGTTCAATTAGAAACCAACGACAGTAAATCTTATGGAAGCGAAAGGTAGCGTCCGAATTTTGAGGGCAATACTAGCAACTGGAATTAAAAGAAGATTAAAACTGAAAAAAACAGAATTACAGTGTTATAAAGTAAAGAAACTTCTTCCACTTTATAAATAAATGATTTTAAATTTCCTCCTATCTACCAAACTAGAGAACGCCATGTTCCACCAGACCGTAGACTTAATGCCACCCTTGGGAAGATCTCCAATTTCACATACCGGGAAACATTTCAGTTAACTCTTCTTTTATGTGAGTTATAACATGGATTCCTTGCAACACGTCACTTTAATGTTGCTTTTACTCTGGTTGGGCTTTGTTTCACCATTTCAAAGGAATCATACTTCCATAAACCTCAGAAACGCAAGGAATTCATGAAGTAAGGTAACTTACGTTTCAAGTACCCCCATCTTCTTTTTCTTCTTCTTGTGCCTCTTGTCTTCCCCATCTCGCACGGTTCTCCTACGGGATAACTACCTTCTGCGCACCAGATGAATGTAGCACAAACCTGGAGAAAACATTAAAAATATTAATTACCGAAAAACATATAAGTAACATAACATCCATGCAAAATAACTAGAGAATTGGTTAAAATGTAATTGAATTTTATGATTTGGCACAGGTAACATTAAAGTCCGTCTGTCATTGGACGTGATTATGACCCAGTTAAAGTCAGTATAAATTTCAATTACATATTTCTATAGAACACACTGCCGGTCACGGTAGCCCAGCGGCCTAAGACATGTACTGTCTTCGCTCGCTTGGAAACCGGGATCGTGGGTTCGAATCTCACTCAGGGCATGGATGTTTAGTTTGTGTATGTGCGTTTTTCTGTGTTTGTGTACAGGTAGAGGCCTTGCGACGAGCTGATCACTCGCCCAAGGAGTCCTACCGAATGTGTAAGATCTAGGAAAACCGAAGTGAACGGAGAGTTTCATGGAGGTAGGCCTAGGCCCACTAGGGCTGTAGTGTCAAGGAAAAAAACAGAACAGATTTGACTATTGAACTTCCGTTGTCTCGTCCTTCTGGGCGGTTTCTGCGAGTTTCTTAATTTATCAATGTTATTAAGAGTCGTGTAAGAGCTGTCTTCTTGTTTAAAGGTAAAAATTAATCATTAACACCTTCAAGTTTTGTGAATAATGAATGGAAAACTAACGTAATTAACGACACGGCAATAAACTATATTCTTTTTAATAGTGTTGTTGAGTTCTGATATATCTTAAATTTGCATCCTCCCTGTCGAAATATTTGCTCTAAAATGCAAGTCAGCACTGGCAAATGTTCTTTTCTTAAATTAATTAATCTGTAAGACATAAAGTTTAATCTATCAAAGAGGTCAATGTAATTATAATTTACATTAATCTGATCAACGTAGGGAATAGGGGCCGCGCCATAGCTGAAGTGGTTAATCGCTGGCTTCCCACCGAGGCGGCCCGGGTTCGATCCAGGTCTGGTCAAGTGGGATTTGTGGTGGATAAAGTGGCGCTGGGTCGTGTTTTCTCCTAGTACTTCATTTTCTCCTGCTAATCTTCATTCCACCAAATTCTCCATCATCATACTTTTCTTTTCCTTGGCACTACAGCCCCAGTGGGCTAGGCCTACCTCCATGAACTTCTCCGTTCACTTGTTTTTCTAGATCTTACACATTCGGTAGGACTCCTTGGGCGGGTGATCTGCTCTATCTGTACACAAACACAGAAAAACGCACACACACAAACTATACATCCATACCCTGAGTGGGATTCGAACCCACGATCCCGGTTTCCAAGCGAGCGAAAAGAGTACATGCTTTAGACCGCTCGGCTACCGTGACCGGCCTAACATCATACTAGGTCGCATAATTCGATTTCCTTTATACGAAGCACAAATAAAACTTTATCGTGTATTTTAAAAAACGGCACTTTCGAAAACTACATTACCTCATCAAAATATATTTCGATACAGTAAACGTTTGATGAGGTATAAAGGAAAGACATGGCGATATTGCCTTATTTTTAATTAGAATACAACTTATACTTCTCTGTAATGAAGATTGTCCACAGCTGCCTATGGTTAGTAAGAGATACATCAGCAATCCTTACGTTATGATCAATAAATTATTTGTTATTTATTTAACGACGCTCTCAGTAATTCAGGCCACATCAAGTAGAAAGACGAACAACTGATACAGATTCTCATAGAATATATTTCGATAACCTTTCTCTGTTTACTTCTCCCCCTCCTTCCTTCCATTTCCTCCTCTTCCTTCATTTCTGATTTCCATCCCTCGTCCTCGTATGTACTTATTCAAATAACCTACATTTTCACATTCCTATCAAAAAATCTAAGGAGCAGCTTCTTCCCTTTGCAATCAGTCCCATGTCATGCTCCGTCCTCCACACAATCAATGGCTTCGCAATAGAATTGCAAAGACAATCAACAGTTGCAGGAACATCAAAGGCTGATGTCACAAATGAAAATTATTCTCGCTGACTGTCATACCCTAATTGTTGTCAGCAAACAACATCCGTTCTGTTGGAGTCAGGAAGTTAGCAGTAACATCCGGCAGTCGAGACATAGAAGATTAATTTGTTTCACGTAATGAGTGTGAGAACGAGACACACACGCATGCGCACACATACATACTCTGCAAACGTGAGTCAACGAAATGCAATGAACATTCATCCAGTTCACACAGCCCAATTATTCTACCGAGGTCTACTAGTTGTGTCTGCGCAGAGAAATTAATTCTCATTGGCTTACTTCTTTTGGAGTGTTTAGGTGAGAAGGTGGTGTGTGGAGATTTCACCTATTGACATTAGCAAGCATCATCTTGGATTTTAGCATACCTCCTATGAGATCTGACAATAAAGTTTGCGAGCTCGCCACTGTGCTTACCGTGGCAGCAGTGAACAGAAACCTCAGTATGGTTTGATGACGTTGGCATATCAGCGTTTCACAGCTGTGTTGTTGTTGATCTATGGCTGTCTCTTTCTGAATGGCGTCTATTATTGTCTGAGTGTGTTTTGGTGTGCTGTTGCAAGAATGTCAGAGCTTGAATTATAGCAATGAATGAACATTAATTTTCTTGTTAAACTTGGCAAGAGTAGAAGCGAAATCAGAGAGATGTTAATGCAAGTTTACAGGGATAATGCTCTGAAGAAAACAGTAGTTTGCGATTTGGTGACACGTAAAAATCTTGCATGATCAATAAAATTAGTGGCAACTTAAAGTGCAGTTATGTAGCAGTAAAGATCCTGCATGTTTCCAGATCAGTATATCACATTGAAATTAAGTACCGAATATTTCAAAACAAATCGATAATTACACTCTTATTATCTAATTTTCAGCCATTAACACCGGTTCATAATTTTTGTTGCCTCCACTACATTAATTTGATCTCCCCTTCAGCGAGGACGAATGGTCACGAGTGATTATATGAACTGTACACGTACGAGTATATAGATCCCCCCCCAAAAAAAGATAAAAAGTAAAAAGATATCTGAGAACAAGCAAAAGGGTAGAGTTCAAAAGGAAACCAGGTAAGCCATTCAAGTAAAGATGAATATTTCAAAATTTATTGTATTTTATTGAAGTACGATGTATATGTATATGAAGATGTAAAAGGGAAACAGAAGACAACGAAAAGTTGCAAAAGAAAGGAGTTAGTATGAATAAAAGACAAATAAGTAATTGAAATTAATAGAATATAAAGAAAGCAAATTGGAAGTAGAGAAACTGGGAATAAAAGAGACGGTTTCTGAATAAGAACGAAATGCCTAACCCACTGCTCCGTTGCTGTTCGTGTTAACGTTTTAAATACAGCCTTCTATTCAATGGGTACCGGGGTCTGTTTCAGGGAATAAAGCGGCAAGGGCGTGAAGCTATCCATTCACCTCCATCTAATGCCGAGATTAATTATGATGGAGCTGTATCTCCACTCCTCCTTACGTCTTCACAGCGTGATGCATAATTAATTAAGGCGAGTGATAACATGTTTTCACTGGCCCTACAGCCCCCTTGGGCCCTGGCCTCTGATTTTCAGTTTTATGATTATGTTACAGACGGTAGGACTCCTTGGACGGGTGATCAGTTCGTCGCAAAGCCTCTACCTAAACACAGAACACAAACACAAAATAAATACCATACATCCGTGCCTTGAATAGGATACGAACCCACGATCCCGGCTTCCGAGCGAGCGAAGACAGTACATGCCTTAGACCGCTCGGCTACCGTGACCGGCCGGGGGATAACTTTACCTTACCAAAACTTACGTTACTAACACTTCAAAACAGATAGTCCTGGGATTTATCTCAGATCATATTTAAGTGTTTAGTAAGAGACAGCGATTAATCACATTAGCAACATTAACAGATCTTTATAATGGACGTTCGTAATATGCGCTGAGGTTCACGGAATTTTTAAATATTCAAATTAGATTCAGAAATCTAACTGTGGAAAAATAAGAATAGTTTCGTCACCTGGAGTTTCAAATGATAAAGCGTCAAGTGGAACTTTATCAAATTTCACAAATACAGGAAGGCAGGGCACCTCAAGACAAAAAGAAATCATATATAGTGACAAAGGCCATGCGGTTGAGTAAGAAAACCAAAGAAGAAGCCCTAGATCTATAGTTTTCTACCTGGAAGAAATTTATATATTCGCCGAATTTTCATTCTATATTTTCCACAAAAATTACCATTGCTCAAACTAATAAAGTGTCAAATAGCTACCGTCTTACGAAATGTGTGTATGAATTCATATAAAATTGGGAATACTTAGAGCTTTCTTAGCGGTGCCAAAAATGTATCGCTTCACCTACTTACCTGGACCTACTGTTATTTAAGTAACGTTTTCGTGCCGTCCAGGCATACCTAGTCCATCACAGGGGACCTAAAATTTACGCGACATTTCACAAAATGTTTTCTTTACAAAATGAACGAAACGTGGTGTAACACAACCACTTAACAAGAAGACATTACAGACAAATTACTACTCAAAAGCAAATAAATCAGAAGCAATGACATATTTTAATTTCCATTATCAAAATATTTACATAAAATTACCATTATTATGCAGACCATTCCGGGGAACCCTTAAAATATTTCGTTTACATGCAATGGATCCAAAAATCACAGATCAGAGACCCCTTTCCCCGCTGTATCAACGCTCTCTTTCGGTAAAATAAAGGCCATGTGACAGTTTCCACGGAGATCCGAGTTTCATAAAGCACATCATAATTGATTTTATATTTACTGAAAGAAAATATAGTCTACAACGGAGAATAAAATGCAAAAAAAATATTTCATTCAAACTTTAAATGAAAACAGGATAACATAATTGACACTATCACGGAATACATAGTGGACCGTGAAATCTATAGTTTCATAAATTGTGATTAAATTTAAAATAAATTGTAACAACAGTTTCGTTGTAAACAAGGGAACAGTAATAAGAAGCATGAAGGCTCAGTGGTTTCTGTGAAAATACGTTGCTATAAAACGATAAACGCTAAGAAATGCATACTCT